GATGTATGTTCACCTTGCGATCGTTCCGAAGAGCAGAAGGCTCGAAATTCAACCCAAAAGCTGGGTGGCGGGCACGTCCCCTGCAACAGAAGCACTAGTCAACCGCACAAAACGAGGGCCTTCCATGAAACCGAAGTACATGTCGATGAGAACCTTCGTCACAACTCTCGGTGTGTAAGCATAGAGTATTCGAGTCTCAGATAGGTCACGTATATCCAAAGCCACCCCGTTCGATCTTTTCCTTGGTGTAGAATCAGTCATAGGCGTAGACCAGTTGGCGGAGCTCTTCGAAGCAAAGCAAAAGACTCTTCGTTACCAGGACGCCAAGAAAAAGCGAAGAGGGAAGGGTGGTCTGCTTGCCGGATAGGTGGTCGGCAGCCATCGCTGGGAGGATTTCAACGGCCTGTAGATAAATGACGCTGGTTTCAAGGGGCTCTCTCACACGTTAGATGTCTCAATGGAATATAAATCTTACAATACAACACGGTGAGGTCAAAACAGAGATCTACAGTCCCGAGAAAGAGTAATGGCAAAAAATTCAATGTCCTTACATTGCCTCGAAAACAAGGCGCTGAGAACGAGACAAGTAATAATTTAGCTGCGGGGAAGGGGTGCGAGCCGACGAAAGTCGACTTACCGCTTTGTCGCGACGTCCCTCCTTCTTGCGAGACACATACGCATCCCAGTCTGCAACGAACAAAAGTCGTTTGGCGGGTGGGTCGCAGAAAACTGCAGTTTGTAACTCATGGTAATCTATTGCCAGCGGGGAACATTAGCCGGCGAGCTTCGAATGTACCCGACCACAAGACGTATCCCTACTTTGGTCGCCCACCTTCCAGACCGGAGAGACAGAACCATTTTGAAGTACAGACCAAACAGTGGTACCCACGGGCCCAGTATGGCTACGACCTGCAGAGTGCTTTCTTTCACTGGGCAAGCCCCGGACTGCAACACACAGAGAATTCCTGAAAGAACAATGGACGCGTTTTTGTATGAGGTGAGCGTGATTTATGCGTCAAGGGGAGACGTACTCGGCAGACTGCGCTGCAATCTTTGGGTTTGTAAAGTGCCAGACCATGCCCAGCCTGTCGAAGTCAGTTTCAGGGAGAGAGTCCTGACAGTTCCCTGAGCTGTCAGCATTCCCCAGGGTTACACAAGCGCTGCCACAAGCAAAGAAGATACGTACCAAGAGCCGGAAGTCCACTGGTCCCCCGGTCTCACTCGGCGTATACTCGACCCGAAGAGCGAGTTCCCGTGTTGCTGTAACGTCGTAATACCCCCCAATACGAGACTTCCCAACGTAACCTCGGTTTGCAGGAGAGTTGGAGATCACTACTAACCGTCCCCTTAATGGAGCGTTAGGTCGAGCACCGAGCGTGTTGGCGGTCGATGCCGCGGACGGGGGTCCAGCCGCTGGAGTTGGGGTAGGTCCTTCTAGCGCCGTCCCATGTGAGGTGGGAGCGAATGTGGGAGCTGTACCATAAATCCTTGCAATCGGTTGGGACTGCAGAGAGCCTGCTTGAGGAGCAGCAGGGGCAGTCGGTATACAGTTCCTAAGTTCGGAGGGCGGTATGGGGCGTGGGTCATAAGCAAGGCCACCAGGTCCTCAGTCAGGATTGCAACTCTGCCTTCTTGCAACTTACATGGGATCATACGAAGAAGGTGGCTCGATTACAGGCTGAGCGGAATGTTCTGATACCAGAGGAAAGCGCTCGAGCAAAGCCGTTCGAAGCTGCTTCCAATCGTCCTGGACGTCCTCATCGAGACCCTCGTACCACCTTAAGGCTTCCCCTTCGAAGCAAGTCGACGCATAGCCAGCCATCCAGTCCCCATCTTTGTGCTTTCCTTTTTCGAATGCGACTTTCCTAACTCGGCGTAAGAACACATCGCAAGGACCTTCGCCCCTGAATACGATGTCGTCCTCCATAAATGGCTAAGAGATCCTGGAGGTTAAAGAGTTATGTTTAATACGATTCGATTGTTAGGGAAGTATTTAGGAGCGTACTTTTCGTTAAATTCTCAATTCGTAGTGTTGGTTCATGGACGGCGGTAGACAGGGTTCCCAGTGTTCAACAATCAAGCTCAGTCTACACCCATTCGACCACAGCGCAATGCTAAAAATCAGGGCTCAGTAAAACAGCCAAATAAAGAATAGAGGTTGTATTTGACATCGGCTGGGTCTCGGCTTGACTTCGACGTTTTATAACAAATCGTCAATAAATGACGCCGAGACTAAGGATTCCTGGCTCTCGGCAAGCGGAATGCTCTAGTTGTACTGTATATTGCCCATCCAGTAAGACCCGCAACGCGCACAAGCCTCATTCTAACTCTCGTAGAGAGCACCATGCTTTATGTCTATTGGCTCAGGGTTTAGGTTGAACTGCAGCAAATCAATACTCCACCCCAGCAGGATCTTGGGCAAAACAATCTTCATAACTGGTTCCCGGGCCGATCCCTCAGCCAAGTGCCCTGACCATGAACCTGGCAAATATCATTTTATCTTTCTATCAGCTTAAGCAACTAGTCGAAAATCAGGTAGCTCCGAGAAAAAGGTGGCCCGCCCGCCAGATAGGTGATTGGGGGTCTCTACTGCCTATCCAATGGTTACAACCAAGTTTAGACAAATTACCCTCGTGCCAAGGGACTCCCGAAACCGCTGAATGCACTTTTGGGACAATCTTTCGCAACCTTACGGTGAGAGCGAACCTCGCGGGGACTACAAGAAAAGCAATGGCTAGAGATTCAATGCTTCTGACTGGCTCGAGAATGAAACAAATAAAAATTCAACCAGTCAAGGGGTCAACTCCACGGTGGTCGAATTACCGCCGGATTAAGCTCCTGTCGACATATGAATTATAATTTCCAACAAATAAGTCGTTTGGCGGGTCTCATATAGGGAATTACTTTGGGAAGTAACAATGCTCAGCACATAATATTCACCCGACATCCTTCAGACGAATCCGGTAGGAACGACGGTCATGCCGACAAAGCCAAATCTATCGCTTTCAGAGGCCTCCCCTCCAACTCTCTTCAAAGATGTACAGGCCACCCATCTCTAACGCGGCCTTTTGGATCTTTGCCTCGACTTACAAAGGGTATCGAGAGGGTATAAGTTTTAACTCTGGGCGCATTTTCGGGGCAAGACAAGAAGGAGCCGAATCCCGGCGTGCTAAAACCAAGTTACGGGAATGGGGAGAGGCGATTCGCCATGGATTGTGAGGGGTCAGCAATGGAAATGGTACTGCACTGGTTAACCTAGTTTGGGTAGGCTGAACGAATCGCATTGCGTTTCATCACGCTCATTTGCGGTCGGGATAACACTTGATGACTGGCTGACCGCAGCCAGGCTAGCGATGTACCGACTTCATACAAATATTCACAGTGCGTAATGATTCTCACTTATATTGGCTGGATAGCGAGAAGCTGCAAAAGGGCAAATCGGAGACTTAGCTCCCGTCGCTCTGACTTAAGATGGCACGCAAGCTCGGCTTACCGCTTTGTCGTAGTTACTAGGCCTATTCCTTCTGAGCCACGTGCCCCAGTCAGCGACGAACAAAATTCGCTTGGTCGTCTTGTTGGTATAAATTACTGCCTGCAAGGGAAAGTAGTCTGAGGAGAACCCCGATCAGCCCATGCGTTCAAGAAATCGCGAGCCGACATATGATATTACTTTGAGCATCGGTCTTCCAGACAGGAACAACGGTACTGTCTTGCTTGATAGACCAGACGGTGGTATCTGCCGGCCCAGCATGCCCAGTCTTGCAGGACAGCATCCCTTCGTCAGCAGGTCCTCGAACTGCGACGCACAGGGCGTTGCTAAGCGGCAAGAGATTAATATAGGAAATACATGCATTATTCTCGACAATGCCGAAAACTTACTGGGACGATCTAGCTGCAATGTTGGGCGAAGCGACATGCCAGACTATTCCAAGCCTGTCGAAATTGGTTTCAGGGAGAGAGTCCTGAAAACCTAGTCAGCATCGCGTATGGAGTGGCTACGGGGTTGGTTCCAGCTAGCAGAAGAAAAGCACGTACCAAAAGCCTAAAGTCTACTGGTCGTCCACTAGCATTGGGTGTGTACTCGACTATTAGAGCTTGGTTAGCATGCGGAGTAACCTCATAATATCCTTCAATCCGCGACTTCGCGATCCATCCGCGGTTCGAGACAGAGTCAGCGATGACCGACACGCGTGCTCTACGCGTAGGGCCTGACCCGATGTTAAGGGCGTTGAAGGCATCAGGCAATGAGGGCGCTGGTGCAGGTGCCGGGCGCGGAGGTGGTGCCGCTGGGGCAGCTCCAGGAGCTGATGGGTATGTTCCGCGAGGCCGTATAACTGTTGGGGATTCTGGTGGTCCAGCCGGGGGAGAAACTGGGGGAGCAGGTGGGGGAGCGGCTGGAGGGGCGGCTGGGGGAGCGGCTGGTGCTGTTGGGATGAAGCTCCTGAATGTTGGGGATACGGCAGGGTGGGTTGTCAGTCAGGATTCCAACTCCGTCCTTTCGCGACTCACCCAGGGATGGACGCTGGAGATGGTTCAGATGCGGACGGAGGAGGCTGCTCTGATACGGGAGGGAAGCGCTCGAGCATAGCCGTTCGAAGCCGCTTCCAATCGTCCTGGTCTTCCTCATCGAGCCCTTCATACCATCTTAAGGCTTCCCCCGCAAAGCAGGTCGAGGCATAACCGGCCATCCAGTCTCCATCCTTATGTTTTCCCTTATCGAAAGCGACTTTCCTTACTGCGCGCAGGAAATCGTCGCATGGTCCCTCGCCTCTAAATACGATAGCGTCGTCCATGAATCGCCCTTGTCCGATACCAAAGAAGCCTTGGAAACAGAGACGTTGATTATGTGCACAGCTGGATCTTGAAAAAAAGAGGTCCATACTCACTGTGGATTTTATGTTTCTGATCACCTGGCTGCGTGCGGTGGTTGGGCTAAAAAAGGCGCTGTCAGGGTGTTCGGTCGGCCTTGGGATTTCACTTCAAGGCCGGCCACAGCAAAATGACAAGAGTGGGATTTGAACCCACGCCCGAAGACTGGTGATTGAATTCATAAGAATCCTAAAACCAGCGCCTTAGACCACTCGGCCATCTTGCCATCTAATAGAGTATTCTTTAGTGCCAATTCATGACGCGGCTTATGGTGAGATGATGCCAAGGACGAAACATGTATCAGATCGAACTAAAAACTGGGTAAAGAGTCACATTACTGTACTTTCGATATAACGATGAGGGGAGAGGGGGCGATATTTTTACTGGGTGGAGTCGCGAGAGGATAGGGATGACGAACAATACAACAAGTAAGAACTCTCGAGTATGAAGAGTGAAAAGCGAATAGTCCACAGAGAATTCAATCGAGATGGTAAAAGATGAAAGGAAATTAAGAGGAATATGGGTTCAGAAAGATGGGGGGACTGTAAACG